GCGCCATTTTGCACAGGCACAGCATAGGCAGTGGCTATAATAGGTTGTTGTGGCTGTGGGCGTGGGCTTGAGGACTGGTAGTTTTGAAAAGCAGATGGGGCGGCGACGACTGGGGCGTAGGAAGGGGGGGGGCGAGGTGCTGCTGGGTAGTGAGAACCATGTTGTGGCAAGGAAGGCGCAGGTGGTTGGGAAGGCTGCTGGACTGAAGCTACAGGAATCGACACCGACAACGGCCCTTGCTGTTGTTGCTCCTGTAGCTGTTTACGGAAGCGGGCTCCCGGATACACCATGGCGCTTGGCCAGTCGGAGGTTGTCGTCTAGCCTGCCTTCAAGATCTTTGCAATGGAGCCCGCGCTGCGGAGAAGGGTGCAGAGAGGATATCGAGTGTACGAATATTTGGTCAGACCAATAACATTTATGAATGTACTGTGCGGTACAGGATTCATCTTGGGAGAGTGCAATTTTCATGGCATCGCTTGATCGCAGCGATCTCGATCCTGCCCGCTTCGCACCGCAGGAAAAAAACATAGTAAACTGTGTTAAAGATATCAAGACTTTACAATTACCTCGAAAAAGTAGCACGAATGTAAGATGCTAGCACAATCACGAACATCTTCCGTTCTCCACTGTGAGTGTGTTCTTTGTGAAGCCCTAAAATTACTGGTATGACAAGTACAACACGGACGTCATCCGTTCCATGTTCGCTCAGGTGGACAGAGGGCAAAGTTGCCCGTAAGTTGGATCCAAGACATCCCACGATATAAAAATCTTTAAAATTACTATGCAAAAGACATGTCAGATACGTTAAACTTCATGTCTCCCCTACGATAATATTGTAGGGGTGTTTGGGAATCGCGTTATGCAGGAGGTTGGTGTTCCGATCTTCCGGTAAGCTAAGCTAGGGCCTCATAGAGTACGAGTCGTTGCGACGATAAAATTTTGTTCACCTCCCAGTATAAAACAAAGCATGCACCGAACCGAAGGACATGCTGGACGAGTGGCGGCCCGCACACTCGAGGGGACTATCCAATCACCCGCAAAATAATACTTGTGAAGGCCCCACCGACTTTGGGATGATCATGTACAAGCATTTTCTTTTTACGACTCTGTCATCCACCTTCTGGGCACCATTGGGTCACCTTTTACCCCGCCAGTCCCCCACGACTTCCATGACGGCATCGTTCAAGGTTCCTGGCGTTGGGTCTCGCTTCACGCTCAAAACCATCCCTGTGCTGCCGTCTAAAATCAAGAGCCAGGGCCGGAGGGAGAGGCGAGGAAGGCCGTACGCGTCCATCCAGCTATAGGAAGTGTCGCTCAAAAGGTACGTGGAGGTGCTGGCGCCGGTCGCTGTCAGCCCGGCTTTCTTCGCCAATCGCGCGAGCTCGGGACATGAAAGAGGAGTGACCCCCACTACTGCGGCCAAGGACGAAGGGATGATCCGCATCCTGTTTAGACCTTCCACCAGCGTGGTGGCCGCAAGGTTCGGATCCACGAGAATTACCACGTACTTGCCAGTGCCCTGGGTGGGTGTTAGAGGCGAAAAAAGGGCCAAGGGGTAATGGCTGCGTGAGCACCGCAACCATCGCCTCGTCCATCCTTCCCACACCCCTCCGTCCCCGCGTCCGACTCCCTCCCTTTTGACACGCCAGCGCGTACCCGTTCTCTCTCCCGCCCGCCCTCCCGCC